CCTACAATTCCTAGTTATTGCTCTTGAATCTGGAAATTTCATATCATGACTTTTTGCTCTCGAGCTTACCGCAATAATCTTATTGGTTCCATATAGACATATACCAATAGAAAGGAAATTAGATGGTCTTTCAGACCTAGCTTATAGATTTCATGTTTTTCAAGCTTTATTGAGGTGTGACATTTTTTGTGTCACTAAATGTAGATACAAAAACAGAAATCGGACTACCCCAACAATCACAAAGAAGAAAAAAAAAGTCACAATTTGGAGTTAACAATAATTTGATGAGAAAGTACATTCAAATCTGCATGTAATGTGTAAAAGAACCTCATTCTGTTGAAAAATACAGAAATGAGGGCCGTTCTTGTGCATTCTACAAATTCTCGTTTTTTGCCCTTGAAACTGAAAATTTCAGAGAGAGAATTTTATAATAAAACCATCAATTTTAATACATATTTTACATTTAAAAAATTCTATTTAGTCATTTTTATTTGATAAACATGCCATACAAAATCTTTCTTTATAAAAGTAAATGTATTTTATGGGCGAAATACCACATCACCAGCCTTTGTATATATTTATACGATACTGCATTAACTGCTGGGAGTTCCCTCTGAACCCCATCAGACGCTGGGAACCTTCGGTGGTAATAACCCTGTTCCTCATCAGACTTGTTTTTCGGAACTGTTCCCGAACCAATTTTTTTAGAAATGAGTAAGCCTTTGTTTACGCTCTTTAGAAGTTGAAGCAAGCTTTTGGGGTGTTATGAGACATAATGCTCCAGGTTTAGGTGACTGTAGAAAAAATACTCCGGGAAACGGTGGAAAATACTCGGGGCTTAAGGAGTTATGTCTCTTTACAGTTGGATAGTGCAGTCATAATATGCCATCATGTCAGCGTGTCTAAGATAATGTTTCTGTGTGGGTGTCGGGTGTTCTGGTGTGGTTTGCTTCTTCTTCCCTTTCAAACACCTATTGTCTTTATCGCCCCTCCGTTTTTGTGTTTGTTACTCTCTTGCAACACCTGTAATGTTCGGCATTTATATGACCTTATTGTGTTGCAAGTGCCGTAAAACTCTTTACTAAAACTAACTGTTTCTGTGTGTGCAGGCCAACATGTCTCAACCGGATCAGTACGACCCCCCCGACAAAGACTTCATGATTGTTGCACTGGACCTGCTGTCTGGCCTGGCTGAGGGCCTGGAGGGTCACATCGAGGGGCTGGTGGCCAACAGCAACATACTCAAGCTGCTCTTCCAGTGCATGCAGGTAAACACATGTAGCGTGGGTACATTTTTTTCAAATATTCAAAACTCTTGGAGTTAAGAGTGTCACAGCGAAACCAAGTTTTCAATTCCACATCATGTGCAACTTAATTAACATGCACACTTGGTTTAAAGTTTCTTTGATTGATCAGCGTTTTTTTTCCCTATATAGAATTTTTTGCTGTTGTAGAAATCTAAATGTATGTGTTGTATCTGCCCAGGACCCAATGCCAGAAGTGCGCCAGAGTTCTTTTGCTCTTCTTGGGGACCTCACCAAAGCTTGTTTCCAGCATGTGCGACCATTTATTTGTAAGTTGTTCTCTTCAGTTTATTTGTAGATTCTCCTGTTGCATGTTTTACTAGCCTCAGCTCGTGAACTACAATTTAAGTATGGTCGCATGTTCACAGAAGTGATGACAGCTTTGAGCATTGACACTTAATGATGTTTGCTAGTATTCGTACTGTCTGATCTGGAAACCTGAATAGAGGTGCATAAAACAGCTTTTTTTCTGTCATGTTGGGAGTGACATTCAAATAGTTAGGACACTTGCACTGAATTAAGCACTCCCTACCAAAGTAGTATGTCGATATATACTTTTTGAATAAATGGAATTAAAATGCGAAATAAATTGATTAATACATTTTTAAAAACCCACAAAACAATACACAAAAGAGAACCCAGGGGCAGTTGCACATAAAGTCCCTTTTGAAGATCCAGGGGACCCTCCTCCCCCCTCTTTACATGTAGTCAATATGATTGTTCCCTTGATGCTCGTCTTGCCCATTGTGTAGTACCCCTTGACTAGAAAGAGCGTTAAACCCATGCCTTGAGTAGTATTGAGTCTTATATCAAGCGCTCGCGGGCGGTATGGGGATGTTTCAATGATTGCTGATGGGTAGTCAGATTCACCTGTTACAGCTCGTGAACTGCGGTTAAAGTATCGTATGTTCAGAGGCCTTGTCAGTATTTACTGCCTGGTATTGGACTGGAAGTGATGACAGCTTTGAGCATTGACACTTAATGATGTTTGCTAGTATTCGTACTGTCTGATCTGGAAACCTGAATAGAGGTGCATAAAACATCTTTTTTTTCCTGTCAAGTTGGTAGTGACATTCAAATAGTTAAGACACTTGTTTTTGCACTGAATTAAGCACTCCCTACCAAAGTAGTATGTCGATACATACTTTCTGAATAAATGGAATTAAAATGCGAAATAAATTGATTAATACATTTTTAAAAACCCACAAAACAATACACAAAAGAGAACCCAGGGGCAGTTGCACATAAAGTCCCTTTTGAAGATCCAGGGGACCCTCCTCCCCCCTCTTTACATGTAGTTCATATGATTGTTCCCTTGATGCTCGTCTTGCCCATTGAGTAGCACCCCTTTACTAGAAAGAGGGTTAAACCCATGCCTTGAGTAGTATTGAGTCTTATATCAAGCGCTCGCGGGCGGTATGGGGATGTTTCAATGATTGCTGATGGGTAATCAGATTCACCTGTTACAACTCGTGAACTGCGGTTAAAGTATCATCGTATGTTCAGAGGTCTTGTCAGTATTTACTGCCTGGTATTGGACTGGAAGTGATGACAGCTTTGAGCATTGACACTTAATGATGTTTGCTAGTATTCGTACTGTCTGATCCGGAGACGTGGATAGAGGTGCTTAAAGCATCTTTTTTTTTGGTGGTCAACTTCTATTTTCTATTGCAGTCTTTCCCCAAGAGAAAGTAATTTACCTGTATACTTCTCATCATACTCTAATGTGTATCTTGGACTATAATGCTGTTAAACTGAACTGCCTCTGTGGTCAAATGTTTTATCTAAAAAAATAATTTTTTTGTCTAGTTTCCTGGATGTTATCGTTAGGAGTGGGTGTCTGCCAATTATTAAGGTGTCCTGGAGTGACACATGATTTTGGAGCTGATTCAGTGATTGCTGAGTAATGGTGGTACTGAGAGCTCATTAACTGGGACTGACATTTGTAAGCACTAAAGGTCATGAGGGGCTGGCTGTGTAGCTTCATTTCTTCTTTTTTTTTTGGTCCCGTGTCCTGATTTTGGTGCCCATATTTGTAGGTTGCCTAAAAATGTATTGACATGGTGCAGATTGTTTTCAAGAAAAGGGGGAATTGTTTACTCGTTGGTGGTGATCATGATGATGATTATTTATGGTGACGATCATGATGCTCTGATGTTGGTAATGTGCATATATTAGTCTTAGTGTTAAGTGTTGTTTTTTGTTGTTGTTTTTTGGGGGTTTTTTGTTGTTGTTTCTTTGGCGCTTACTCTAGATCCCTGCCAAGCTGTCCTGGGGGGCAGAACACTACCCTCATTCCCAACTCCTGGCATAGAGTGACAAAAAAATTGGAAATAATTTGTCATCTTCATCTCTATATTTAATAAAAGTTTGCTAAGAAATCACATGGGGGCCGCTTGTAAGTGATGACATTGTTAGTGTGTTTGTTACCCTATGTCTATGCTATATTTTCAAAACAGTGAAAAAGGAGTGTGGCCAATAACTCTGTCGCGTCTTAATTTGGTCAGGGTCCATAAAACGTTCAATGTTTACTTGTGTTTTAGTTTGATTTTTTTTTTTTTCTTTTTACAAGAAAACTGGATGAGGTGCAGAACATCAGTGATCAGTTTTTTTTGGTTTTTTTTTTTACTTCACAGCGGAATTCATGCCAATCCTGGGAGCTAACTTGAACCCAGAATTCATCTCTGTGTGTAATAATGCTACTTGGGCCATTGGGGAAATCTCCATCAAAATGGGTGAGTATATGTGATCACAGTGCAGCTGTTATGTCCTCAATGAAACGTTTTAGGACAAGTGTTTTAGCTGCAAGTAAGCTTTAGTACAAATAAATTGTGAACT